TGGCCCAGGTGATCCCTGGGGAGGTCGCGGTGGGTCTTTGTAACTGTGTTCCCTTATTATAGGAGTTCTAGGTCAAAGGTCAGTCTAGCTGTGTTATGGTGGTTTGTGGTGGTTGATTATGGTGACGGTGATTAGTAGTGGCGGTTGGTTGTGGTGACGGTGGTTGGTTGTGGTGGTGGTGGTTAGTGGTGGTTGAGTGTGGTGGAGGTGGTGCTCGTGAACATTTCGATCAGGTTTCCTCGTATTCCCTATATATGCCAGGGTGTATTTCATACACTATGATCTGTTATTGTGTTGTTTAGCCTTCTACTGTGTCCACAGGTCGAGATATACAGTGTCCTCCTCTTTTTCATCATTTCCGGTTCCGGTCTCCTGGACAACTATTCACAATTCTCTACTTCATGTACTGATCTAAGTCATTTATTATCTATGTTATTTCTCATCTAGGTAATATATTATCTAGATAATTTATTATTTAGTTAATTTATTATCAAATTGATTTATTTATAAATTTATTTATTTGGAGATTTATGTAAGTGAGGGCTGCACACTGGCGTTGTGTACTCACAGACCGGTCTTGCGCCTGTGTTGATTTCGTATTCCCGTTTTTTGTAGTACTTCTTACGTTCTCTCTCCTTCTTTATGCTGCTGGCATAATGACGTTTACACGGGCTTCAGGGGTCACATTTGCCTTGATGTGTTCTCCTGTGTTATTATTTAAGTTATTCTAAGATGGTATGATGTGTCTGGTCTCTCTCACAGCGCCCTGTGGTAAACTGTTGATTAGATTTTGCCTCCGTTGCCGGCTAGTTTATTGAGGAGGGCAGCACAGGAACATAGGGATACACAGGTCTATGAACTAGGCTCCAAAAAATGTGGGGCTGAGAGGAATACATTTATATTTGTATCCTTAATTTGTCTAATCTGTTGCAAGCAAAATTAGGATGATGTACCTGGAAATTTATGTACATGTAGTTTTATTATTGAAATCTTGGTAGACGGCAGAGAAATCTCTCTTCCTTGGGTAACTTATAAGGAACTGGAGTATTCTACCACTAGCAGTCATTTTGGTTAGGTTGGCAGTCATTTTGGCTAGGTTGGCAGTCATTTTGGCTAGGTTGGCAGTCATTTTGGCTAGGTTGGCAGTCATTTTGGCTAGGTTGGCAGTCATTTTGGCTAGGTTGGCAGTCATTTTGGCTAGGTTGGCAGTCATTTTGGCTAGGTTGGCAGTCATTTTGGCTAGGTTGGCAGTCATTTTGGCTAGGTTGGCAGCCATTTTGGTTAGGTTGGCAGTCATTTTGGCTAGGTTGGCAGTCATATTGGCTAGGTTGGCAGTCATTTTAGCTATGTTGGCAGTCATTTTGGCTAGGTTGGTAGTCATTTTGGCTAGGTTGGCAGTCATTTTAGCTAGGTTGGCAGTTATTTTGGCTAGGTTGGCAGTCATTTTGGCTAGGTTGGCAGCCATTTTAGTTAGGTTGGCAGTTATTTTGGCTAGGTTTTATACAGTTTGCAAGATTTATGCGAGTTTTTAATGTACTTTATTTTAGCCTAATAAACTGTTGATAATGTGACACATTTACAGCACTTGGGCATATTTATTGCCGAAACGTTTCGCCTGCACAGAAGGCTTCTCCGGTGGATACAGGTGAATACAGCACCCTCGTTGGGAGGTGGTCAGTCCCTCATGCCTAAAGCATAGAGAACAAAATGTCATAACACAGTGACTGAAACAACACACAAATAACCCACACATTGAGAGAGAGAGAAGCTTACGATGACGTTTGGGTTGTAAGCTTCTTTTTCTTCCATGTGCAAATTTTGTGTTTCTAAAGCCTAGGCATACTGCCAGACCTTATATATTAGAGTGGAGTTGAGAGTGACAGACTGATCGCCTCCATATTTCCTCTACTGCTTCCTGTGCTGTATTCACCTGTATGCGACTGGAGAAACCCGTTGTTCAGGCGATACGTTTGGACAGTAAGGATACTCAAGTGTCGCAAGTGTCTTCCTCATCAACTTGTCGATACTGTATGCCTTCAATGATAAGATACTAGTCGACTGTGCTCTAAGAAAAGTGGTAATACAAAATTATAGATTCATTCGGGTTTGTAAGCCATGAAGATGGGACGAGTGCTGATGTCTCATTCTACATGGGTATCTCTCCTGAAAGGAAGATGCCTCGATCTTGCCGAGGGAATGTCTTACGGTATTCCGGCATCTGCGACTTAGGAGAAGGAACAGTGTGGCTATTAGTTCAAGAACTGGGCAGGAGCGTTTTAGCGTGACTAAGTGCTAGCAAAAAGGTCACCAGGGACAGGTCCTCATGTTCTAAGGAAGGTAGTAAAGAGTGTCATCTGCTCCAGAGATCATGTTTACTAGCGGAAAATATCATTTTCTAAAGCTCTTCACAAACCTGCATTTGGAAGCGAAACTTTGTGACGACGTTTCGGCCCTTCCCGGCTGAATGTCAAGTCAGAGTTGGTCCAGGGAAGGACCATAAAGTCACCAGAGTTCCTCTCCTGAAAAGTGCGTGTTCCAGGTGAATTGTTCCAGCCACACCACTGCAATTTTATATTCTTCCTCAAGAAACGTCTTCTACATGGTCATAACACAGGCCGAGAGTGAAACATACATGACTGTAGCGTTACAGTTATGTATTAGGTCAGTGGCTATATCAGATGTCCAAGCCGATGGTAAATTTCTTTTCCTCTCTCTGCCTTTGCCTACGTTCTTGTTTGCTTTAGAAAAAAATTGATCTGGGGGGAAGGGGGAGTTTGCAGTCGTGGTGTAGTTTACCAGTCCTCTTAGGTACACCTAGTTCACTAGTTTTGCTAGGTACAACTAGTGTGCTAGTTCTCCTAGGTACACCTATTTTACTAGTAGTGCTAAGTAAGCGTGTTTTACCAGTGCTTCCGGGTATACCAATTATACCAGTCCTGGGTATACCTATTACAGTGTGTTATGAGGTTAGAGTGCATATGTTAGTTATAACATCTAAGATACTTTTCCTTAGGGGTTGTAAGTGTTCTTTTGACCTGTCAACAAGCAAACTGTGACCACATCAACACTGAAATTTTGTGGTATGGAAGGTTCGTTGTGTGAGGTTTGACTGTCATGTCTGTCAGAATATCATGAGTGTCATGACTATCAGTGTCATGACTATCAGTGTCATGACTATCAGTGTCATGACTATCAGTCTCATGACTATCAGTGTTATGACTATCAGAGTGTCATGGCTGCAGTAGTGACCAGACAACATCTCCACAACAACCAGTCACGTACTGTACATGATGCATTAAATACTTTAGAGAGATGCAATGCCAGGCTAAACACTGGTGAAATAGCTCAACACAGCTATGTACAGCTATATGCAGCTATATACAGCTATATGGAGATATAAACAGTTATATACAGCTGTATATAGCTATATACAGCTATATACACATATATACAACTAAATACAGATATATACAGATATGATGTCATAGATTAACCGATCTGTGTAAACATAGATTTTCTATATTATTATTATTATTATTATTATTATTATTATTATTATTATTATAAGTATCACCAGTAGGTTACCGCTTCATCAGATTCACCAACACCATCATTAGCATCCTTATCACCTTACCATTAGAATCCCCATCATCATCATTAAAATCATCATCACCATCCTTATCATAATGATCCTCATCATTATCACAAGCATCACCATCATCGTGTCATCCTCATAGCTATCATTATCATCATCACCACCATCGCAATCATCACTGTATAAGCGCTAGAGTCATTGCTATTATCATTATCATCACCATTATCATTACAATCATTATCATTATCATTATGATCATCATCATTCTTGATTTTGACGATCATTCTGTTGATGGTCGTGAGGGTTGTTCACCAGGCCTCCGGGCAGACAACTTTATCAGTCAGGTTGTTGGTGCTTGTGGCAAGCAGTCCGATGTAGGCACGTTAGGCACTGTACCACAGACTTCGTGCATGGCGTCTATGGGAGAGGTACTCTCTCAGAATCCACCAAACACTCCGTTAGGGTTAAAGATGTCAGTTTGTGTGGTTTTTACCGATGGCACTATCACAGTGACACTGTGATAGTGCCATAGTGAAGAATATTGATTCAACAATGCTAGAGATTTTGGGAAGAATGGCGCTCGCGTATTCACAGGGACAGCTCATGTAGGGGATTACCCATTGGCTGTATCTGGCTTCTCCCCAGTCCCTCACTTTGACCCCTCAGATTGTTGGTATTAGTGTTGCCCCTCACCTTAACCCTCAGATATATGTATACATGAATGTATGTATAAATGTGTATGCACTATTTAGTAGAAAGCCATTATTTTCTGTAATAAACAGATGAAAATGGCAACAGGTAGAGGAATCATTGCATAAATACGATATTTTTTATAATGATTTATTTGTTTGAGTTTGGTACAAACAACACTAGACGAAGGTTGGTCCTAGACGCCTAACAGAAGGAAACATTAATGCCACGAGTCAATATTAACAGTAACACAACAACAACAACAACAATGGTACTGAATCATCAACACAACTTACGGAAAACATTCAAATATGTCGTCACCACACACACACACACACACACACACACACACACACACACACACACACACACACACACACACACACACCTATACATCCGTCCTGTATGTATGCATACACGCACATACAAGGGAAGACTTTACATCCTTCTGTCTCTCCCTCCCTCCCTTTCTCCCTCTCTACCCTCATTTACATAACTCAAGCTCACTTACAAAGTAGACAGAAGCGTGTAATAATAGTCTGAAATTCTTGGCAACTTGATATACTTACATCATATATATATATATATATATATATATATATATATATATATATATATATATATATATACGAAAAACAGCACAAGGGTTGGGTACGTCACCTGGACTCGTCATAGTGACTCGTCCTGGTGATGGTCAGTCAGGATTACTTACTACATACGTTATTTTTTTCAGACAGGAATTTTAAAATTATTAATACAACCGATTTTTTTAACCTGAACAAATAAATATACGTAATAAATATGTATACCTAAGTAAATAAATAAAATAAATAGGTTTATAAATATATAAATAGATGCATATATTAATACATATATATTTAAATTACGTAAAAGTGGAAAACAAATGTTGACATTTCTCGCCACGTAAACCGACTGCTTAATTAATGTTAAATAAACGGCATAGTAAAGTCGTTTATTGGGACCAACAGTCAAACACAAGCACACTTAATATTTACTAAACACACATTTAAGCTTCCAAACACTAAAAAAAACCAGTCCTGCTTGGAATCCATCGGTGTCTAATTCGAAACACACCAAAAAATCCCATTTGCAAAACACAGCCGAAAAAAAATTTAATTTTTATCTGAAAGAAAGCAAGGTGAACCTCGCCTGAATTTTGAGGACTTTTGACATCAAATTAACACACATAAAAACCTGTGTACACAGATTTTACAGCTCTGGTGTATTACCGTCTGAGCTGCGAGACAGAGACACACAGCTTGTACAAGAAGGTGAGTTGGGTACTATGAGAGGCATGTGTATGGATGCTGAGAATAGTTTTTTATAAGGTATCGAATCGTCTGTGTGAATCTTGTGTGTGAAGCCGGATTCACAGTGCGATTCTTAGCGAAGGTTTAGTGTGGCAACTCTAAGCGGTTTATTAACTGTTATCAGCTAGCAGGCAGACACTAATTGCTAATAAGCAAGCGAGCCTAGATATGCTAGGCATATGCTTATTGTATAAGCAAGCGTTGTTTACATGCAAGCAAGCAATTGATTTTACGTGGAAAATTCACAAGTCTAGAAGCATGATTACTTTTAAGCAAGCAGTAAGAGTCAATAATCAGTGTTAATCGTTAACAAGCAAGGGTTAAGGGTTAGTAAGCAAGCATTAAGCCTTGGTAAGCAAGCATCAATTGTTAGTAAAGAAGCATTACCAGTTAGCCAGGTTATGGATCGGGCCACGGGGGCGTTGACCCCCCGAAACACCTTCCAGGTATACTCCTCCAGGTATTCATTTAACATTATAAAGCTAGCACTAAGAGTTAGTAAGCAAGCATTATGAACTAGTAATCATCTAGGGGCATTTAGCAGTCATTAATGGTTAGTAAGCAATCAAAATAAGCACTAGAGCACTAGACTAAGTATTAACACTAGAGCGCTAGTAATTAGCACTGAAGCACCTGTGGTTGACGCTCAAGCACAATGGGTAAGTAAAGGAGAGCTAATTTATAAACAAGTGAGCAATGTAGCATTTGTGTTAACTAACAAGGTAGTTAGTGGTCCTATAGGTAAGTCTCTTTTAACAACGTCCTCTCTTTAAATTGTTCACTTAGAGATTAAATGTTCACTTAAACACAGAATATTCACTTAAAAAATAAAATATTCGGAAAATTTTCACCTGAACGCGCACACACACAGTAATACTTTACATTAATCAACTTGTAACGTGAAATCTCTTTAGACTGGATGCTAATGTTTTTCTTATGATGAGTTGTTATCGAGAGGAACCATGTACAGAGGCGTCACCTGGACAACTAGGAGTCACCTTAATTACAAAGGTGCTTTGGTAACTTTGTTAATAATTTGTCTATATTATGCATTTACATGCATGGCGTTCATGCATGGAGCTACGTACATGTCCGTTCCCCTTTATGCGCGGAGGTCGTGCGTGGAGTTTTTGTTCGCTTTACCATGCAGTCACATACACACACGAGTCTATAAGGCCAGGAAACGGACACGGATCTACAAGCGGTATCTACAGCGGCTGCCATGCACATAGCTTGAGCAAATAAAAATCTACTTATAACAGTACTACACACACACACACACACACACACACACACACACACACACACACACATAAACTGTGAGGTGTCGCCTCAACAGCTGCAGAGCGTCTATATCACTCTAATATTGAATTCTAAACTGACATTCAAATAGGAATCATTACACTTCTAAAGAACACTTTAACTCGGGTCCCAATGAACAATCTTAGCTGTACGAGTGATTTAGGTTAACGGGGATGGGGTGGAATGTTGTATATCTTGTGTCTGTTTTTCTTGCTTCTAGTTGAGTGGGTGAATATCCCGGGTCCCAGCACCTATAAGCACGTGGAGAGCTGCGAGGAGTCTGGCTTACTGGCTTGCACGCCATCTGGTTAAATCAAAGACGATAACGTGATTAGATTTCATCCATTTTTATGTGGGTTTGTATACCAATTTTTCTTTAATCGCTCTACACATAGTCTTTTTTAAACTGTGCGAAACATTAGGAGAGCTGAAATATAATTCTACGACAGTATAAGTGGAAATTTGTGTCTAGTATTGTCTGTGATTCAGCCACGGCGCTCGGCTTTCGGCCCCGAAATCCCCCACACTCCCACGGTAGCCCCCAAAGCACCACCACCGCCAGTCGCAAGATTCACGACCACCACAACAACATCATCAGTGGCAAAGGAAGCCCGGCAAAGGTGTGTCTGGAAAATGTGTGCCTGATTTACTATAAGCAGCAAGGCTTGTGGCTCTCCTGGCGTTCGCCTAACTCTCCGGACGCCTTCGAAGAAACCTTCGCCAAACTTCGTTTGTCACCGAAATAGTTTCTTTTATGGTTTGGGCCACAGAAAAGAACAGCGGAGAATCTTGAAAAATCTCTGTCATGAAGATAAACATAGTCACTTCGAGTTTTCCTTCAGTCTCGACTTTTCCTCTTAAAATATCGCCAGTTATCACAGTACTCTGTATGTCATATCACACAGGCACCGCACTCACATAATTATACAAGTTATACAAAAGCAGCCTTATTACTAAATTATTGCATGTGTTCTATCATACTCCATGTATAATGCCCTTGACAGTAGCCGTTAAGAGTTTCACAATGGGATGACTCTAATTTAGAGATCAAATTCCAAATGCCCATGTTTAATAGTCTTGTAATTTATCCAGAATACCACCACTCTTGTGGAGGTTGATTCCAGAAGGAACCAAGAGGAAGAATCTCGTTTTCTAGAATTAAAACCAGCGTCTTCACTTTCGTCTTGAGATGGAGAATGAAGCCGCTCGGCCACCTGAAATGTAATGAAAGAAACCTGGCTCCAGCGACCGTCCTTGATATTCGTCAAATCTTTTGGCATACACGACTTGGTATTCACGACTGCATCCGGCATCCACGAACTCGTTTGGCATCCACAACAGTATCATGGCGAGGACAGTGCGCATTTTTTTTTTCAGTTCAGGCGATACCAAGGCAGTGGGGACGGGATCTTAAGAATATCGTCAAGGGATTATGCCAGGTTCCTTAATTAACTTGCCAGCAACTATTCCGTGTCAGATGCAGGTGGTATTTGTGTTGTACACAGTTCCAAGGCCAAATGGCGGCGCCCTCCCCTCCTGGGCTGACCCGTCCAACTCCATGTTTACAGGATCTCAATAGGGTAAAGCGAATCCTGGCGGACATGAACAGGACGATGTCGGGATTGGAGGGCACGCGAAGAGCGAGTGTCCCTTGTGTCGGTCGCAGTAGCTGCCCTGAAGGAGGCATTGAGAACTGGACGAAGGGCCCCTGTGAGAGCGTTGGCGGCTCGAGCGGGGAGGAGCTAGATCCTGCGGGGGTAGCCAGAGTCGTAGAGCTGACGGAGGGACTCTGTAGTGGTAGCAGGGCTGAGGGGCTCCTCAAGCTTGCTCCTGCGGCGGCGATGCCACACTGCCGTCCACGCCACGATGATCACCAGCTGTGCCACCAGGAACACAGAGCACGCTAGGACCAGTCCCACCATATTGATGCACACCCCAGACACATCCTCCTGCAGTACGATCTCGGCATCTCCTTCAACCTGAGTAGGAAGTAAGGCGGTTAGCCACGACTGCTTTCAAGTCGTCACAGAGACGAAACAATTCCAGTTTCAAGACTTGTAATAAGCTTTCATTTTTTCTGCTTAAAGTATTCTAACTGCCAGAGGCATTAGCACCATCTACATTAAATATGAATAAGGCTAGAATAGTCAAAAACAACAATGATCAGTTTAAAATAATGTTGAATAATGTTAAAAGTTACAATATTATTTATAATACTATTAACCGAACGAAAATGCATCTTGGATGTAAAACAGTATAACTCACCCCAGTTTTAGTCTTTTTAGTGAGTTTCTTGAGAGAGTTGTCTCTGTTGTGTTGCTGGGAACCGCGGAAACCAAACTTGTCAGAGATTTTGATGGACTGAACCACCAACAGCTCTTCGGGAATCTGTTGCTCTGGTGTCTCCCTTCTGCTGCGGCTGCTGACGCTGGTGTCCACCACGCTGAGGGCCTCTACCTCCAGCACTTGAGGGCTGCGCTTCCGGATCTGAGGACCGTGAAAAAGTTGTGAGAGGATGTTGGGACAAGAACTGATAGTGAGGGTATGTGGGGAACAAGAACCTGCTGTAAGGGATGTGGGAACCAAGAATGTGGATCCAAGAATCCGTTATTAGAGGATGTGGGGGCCAAATACCGGTTATGAGGGATGTGGTCACCAAAATCCAATTGTAAGAGATGTAGGGACCAAGAATCGGTTGTGAGCGAATGTGCGGATAAAGATTTTGGTTGATTAGATGCAACTGGTCTTGCGTTTCAAAATGACATAAAAGAAATCTTACGTGAATATTCCACTACTCTTTTCCAATGTATTTAAAAAAAGAAAAGGCTGTATGGCCCATATGGATTTGACGCTTGTTTTGTAATATAATGATAATACTTTAAAAACAAAAAAGGGTCTCTTACCCTTTGGACTGAAGTTTCAAATTGCTCCTGTGGGCTGGACACTGAAGTACCGAAGTCAAAGATGTAGGACTCTGAGACATCCCTCTTCTTCCTACCGTAGCTCTCTGTCTTTTTCATCTGACCTCCAAAGTCGAGGACGTCACAGACGACGGGCTCGCAGGTGGGCAAGCAAGGTGTCACCAGAGCACGGAATTGAACCTCTTCGCCTGTAGGGAACTTGAAGGCGTCGAAAAATGCGCCTAGAACCTGGGTAGAAACATGTAGGTGATTAGACTCGACAAGCTTTATGAAAAGAGAAAATGATTCTTTAGGTATGGTGACGATACAAGTCAAACATAGTAATCATGTTAATTGCTGTGTTTGGATACAGCAGCGTACTGCAAGGCAAGCTTTCACTGCGATAACGCTCCTCTCTAAATGGAGCTCTATCTACTCGATCAAGCTCTAAACAGAGCAAAACGGTGTGGCAATAGAAGCTTACCCTGCACCTAAGTCTTTTCTTTTTGGGTGTATTTGCTCACCTTGCCGGTGTTATCAACTTTGAGGAGCGGCCTCAAGATGAACATCTCAGTAGGGCAGCCGCGTCCATCCAGGAGGGTAATGTTGATAGTGTTGCCGCCGTCCATGGCCACCAGATCGCGCACGAAAATCTCGTACGGGGAGTTCCTGTCTACGATCTCGAAGCGGAGCTGGAGCATGTCTCCAACGGAGGCGTCGGAGATGTCATCGCCGTTGCGGTTGGCAACACGCATGATAACGTTGGGGGAGTCAACAGTGCTGCCTTGTTCCAGGGCGGGCTTAATGTCCCCTTCTACGGTCAGGTCAACTCGATTGCTCACGCTCTTGTTGGACAGGTCGTATTGGCAGTGGACGCTGAGACCCAGGTCAGCCGAGGTCACAATCATGTCGTGGTGCTGAATAATGACGTCGTTGCTGTACTTCGATGCGGAGTCGCGCTCGACATTGCAGTCGATATCGTTATAAGACATCCTCAGTTCGAACTCCAAGGCATCTTCGATATCGTTGACGCAGGTGTTGGGGGAACCCTTGGCGTAGATCTTGCCGTTGAAGATTTTCGATGTCTTGATCTTTGCAATCATGTCTCCGGAGCGGCAGTCGATGGTGACGTTGTAGCAGGAGGAGAGCTCGTAGGTGGAGGAGCCAGGGATCTCTAAGTAGGGCTCTTCGATGTGGGTGAGTGTGGCGGCGGCGTGGTGGGAGAGACGGCACACGCTATCCCCGGTGTCGCCGTAGTCGAAGGAGTGACACCTGTAGACATCAGAACTTGAGTCGTGGCTCATACAAGAACATGTGTATCACACAGGAGGTTCAAACCTTCAACCTCTGACAAGAGAACTGAGACTGTCTCGATCTAGCTATGATAGCGAGCTCCAAGAATATTTTTACTGATCACGTGACTCATGTAGGTCAACAAATCAAAGAGTTAGAAAAAAAATTATGAAGAGCAACAGCGATTCTGTATTGGATTGTTCAGCGTAATGAGAGGCGGCTCGATCCTCCGCCTGCTTATTGCAACCTAGTTCCTGACTAGCTAGACTGTTGGTAACTGATAATCATTATAGACACCTGAAACATTAGTGACAATATGCGTAGCAGATAAAAATTACACTCAGAACTGTTCAGTTCCAAACCATATTGATTGGCTAAAGGTTACATCACTGCATAGTGTGACTGAGTCACGACCCAGCACAACAAACCACATCAGTAACTGAGACCGTACAGCCTGGCCGGGAGAGCAGGGTTTAGCAGACGGAGGACAGCCTCCAATACTCATCGGTGCTTCAGTGAATCTCAGGGGTTTAGCGCATCAAGTAAATATCCAATAAAATAATAATGGAATGAAGATCAATGAACTATTAATCAGCCATATGGAGAGGTAAGCCTTCGAGGAGGACTCCATGATGCTTGTTGGCTCTTGATCCAATGAACTGGAGCTGCTCTCCACTGAATCAATCCTGATTACTTCTCATTAGATGGAGTTTCACTCCTTTCTTAACCATTATCAAGTAACTCACCTGAAGGAGGCGGTGAGGCAGAGTCTCTTGCAGTCCTCCAGACTAGCTACCTCCTGATACACTGAGTCCACTGTCTTCAGGATACGACTCTCCATCTTCTGGAACTCGCACAGTCTGACGGGGTCGTCGACGCAATTGTTCTCCAAGAAGTCGCTGTTCTCGGCTGCTCTAAAGGCGCCCGTGCCCACTGCTGTGTGCCGGTCCATATCGGAGATGGAGCAGTCGCCCGTAGCGTTGTTAAAGTTGGCAGACCTGAGGGAGGAGGGAGAGTGGTTGTTAGAGCTTGCTGTTAAGCCTTCACTAAATGGAGCTACTTCTATTTATGGTTCAAAAGTAGCAAAAGCAGTACCGTGACGCTCATGTACGTACATAATGGCCACCGTAAAGCTTAAGTACTAGGTGGTGGACACCGTGACGGCTATGTAGCAGGTTTGACAGCTACTGTGGCGCTTATTTATGTATTATGTGTAGCGAGCAACGGGTGAGCTAGAGCTGAGAAATAGCAGTGATTCCGGTCTCTTCCCTCAGGGACCCCCATCCCCAGCCTCCACCCACACCACGCTAGCCTCATCATCTCCCTCTCGCATCTTTCACACACGTTTATCATTTTTGTCATCCCCGTAACCTCTTCTTCGTCACCCTTCTTCCTGCTGGTACACGCCTCTCCTCGCTGTAGACGTGTAATGAGGGCGAGACAAAGTATCAATGTACCACCATTATGAGACAACCTATTATTTACCGACCAGAAATTGCATAAAATTGTTGCCTATTATATGAGGGGCGAGAGTCAATATTTTTGGCCCCCGGCGAATAAGGGTGATCGGATACCTTCCAGGAATCTCTGCTAAGACTTCTTCGACACCTTGGAAAGGCTTTGTTTACGTCAGTTTTGCATCGCTCCATGAGCACAAATAACCCCAGCAATTCTTACAAGATGAGAGTGTCTTAGAAGAGAAAATTATTGGTGTTTAAAGCATCGAGGCGCCACTTACGTCGTAAAGTAGAAAAAACAATGGTCTTGAAGGCTTCATTGCGAAAGTACTTCCCTTCGAGGGAAGTACTTTTACGGTGCTTATGAAGGGCTTTTGATCTAAGGAACTGGAGCTCCTCTTCCCGTTATCTGATCCTAACTGACTGCTTCCTATTTCCCAGGTGTTGTGTGACGCTTACGACTTTAGTGCTTCCCACCAAAACATAATAATAATAATAATAATAATAATAATAATAATAATAATAATAATAATAATAATAATATAAAAAATTAGCACCTCCTTACACGTGACATTAAGAAAAAAGCTGTTACTCATTAGTGATTATATTTTACCAATTAACAATGTTACCCACTAATAATGCTATTATTGCACCCATTAAAGTTAATAAAGAACAATAAAGCACAATACCATGACTGGAACAATACAGTGACTGGAACAATACAGTGACTGGAACAATACAGTGACTGGAACAATACAGTGACTGGAACAATACAGTGACTGGAACAATACCATGACTGGAACAATACAGTGACTGGAACAATACAGTGACTGGAACAATACAGTGACTGGAACAATACAGTGACTGGAACAATACCGTGACTGGAACAATACAGTGACTGGAACAATACAGTGACTGGAACAATACAGTGACTGGAACAATACAGTGACTGGAACAATACAGTGACTGGAACAATACAGTGACTGGAACAATACCATGACTGGAACAATACAGTGACTGGAACAATACAGTGACTGGAACAATACAGTGACTGGAACAATACAGTGACTGGAACAATACAGTGGCTGGAACAATACAGTGGCTGGAACAATACAGTGACTGGAACAATACAGTGATGGCTTGATAAAGCTCCTGGAGAGCGAAACGTTGCCACAATAAATGTCACATTAGTTGCACTTGTGTCCTTTTACTTTACAACAATACAGTGACTGGAACAATACAGTGACTGGAACAATACAGTGGCTGGAACAATACAGTGACTGGAACAATACAGTGACTGGAACAATACAGTGACTGGAACAATACAGTGACTGGAACAATACAGTGACTGGAACAATACAGTGACTGGAACAATACAGTGACTGGAACAACACAGTGACTGGAACAATACAGTGACTGGAACAATACAGTGACTGGAACAATACAGTGGCTGGAACAATACAGTGGCTGGAACAATACAGTGACTGGAACAATACATCGTGACTGGAACAATACAGTGACTGGAACAATACAGTGCTGGAACAATACAGTGCTGGAACAATACAGTGACTGGAACAATACGTGCTGGAACAATACAGTGACTGGAACAATACCTGACTGGAACAATACAGTGACTGAGATACAATACAGTATGGAACAATTACAGTGATGGCTTATTAAAAGCATCCTGGAAGCGAAACGTTGACAATAAGTCGACATACGTGCACTGTGTCCTTTTCTTTACACAATACAGTGACTGGAACAATACAGTGACTGGAACAATACAGTGCTGGAACAATACAGTGACTGGAACAATACAGTGACTGGAACAATACAGTGACTGGAACAATACAGTGACTGGAACAATACAGTGACTGGAACAATACAGTGACTGGAACAATACAGTGACTGGAACAACACAGTGACTGGAACAATACAGTGACTGGAACAATACAGTGACTGGAACAATACAGTGGCTGGAACAATACAGTGGCTGGAACAATACAGTGACTGGAACAATACAGTGACTGGAACAATACAGTGACTGGAACAATACAGTGGCTGGAACAATACAGTGACTGGAACAATACAGTGACTGGAACAATACAGTGGCTGGAACAATACAGTGACTGGAACAATACGTGACTGAACAATACAGTGACTGGAACAATACAGTGACTGGAACAATACAGTGACTGGAACAATACAGTGACTGGAACAATACAGTGGCTGGAACAATACAGTGACTGGAACAATACATGCGTGACTCTGTAACAATACAGTGACTGGAACAATACAGTGACTGGAACAATACAGTGACTGGAACAATACAGTGGACTGGAACAATACAGTGACTGGAACAATACAGTGGCTGGAAAATACGTGCATGGAACAATACAGTGACTGGAACAATACAGTGACTGGAACCAATA